TTCACATACATATGCGCGATACTTGAAATTTCATTTCATCTGTCATGATCCCACAACGATTATTGCTTACAATTAATATTCGATTACTGTACATAAATGAATGTGTACTTTTTATATTCATCAATTCGAGAGGCTTTTGTGCTAGTTTAATTTAATTTTTTTTTGTGACCATGCTTAAATGTAAAATTAATTCTGCACATTAGTTATGAAGAATTCCCAGGCACAACTAAGTTTTTAATAGGTTTCTCCATGTTTGTTTGTACATCTACCTATGTTTATATGTTGTATATTCAAAAATAAACATTATTATTATTACATTAACGGCAATAAATTTAAAATTACATAATTTAAAATTATTAGGGATCATTGGGATTATTAGGGATTAAATTAAATTCGCCTTTCAGGCTCTGTAACTTGAAATTTGTTGGTCGTACGATCCTAGNAAAGATGAATTTTAATAAAAATAGAATTTGATCCCTGATATGTTTCAATTTTTTTATCTTACATAGAAAATTAACCAACAATAGACTCTATGAGGCTCTCAAATTAATAACTTTCATTAGTTATTAAATATTAATTGAAACCATTGGAATCATAACTCGCATGAAAAGGAATTTCAATTTAATTAACTTTTTTCCAATTCTCTAAATATAATAAAAAAGATTGCAATGTTGATTCATTTATAACATTTTGCATCAAAAAAATCTTCAATTTCTTTTTTTTTCTTTAATTTTCTAAAAAAATCTTGAAACTGACAATAGATCCTAATTGGTGAAAATCTAAGAAACGTTATTTCAATTACTAAATATGACCCAATCAAACAAATGAATAAATAAATAAACGAAGACGGTGAGCTAAATGAAACCATTCTGAATTAATTTTCATTATTTAGTTTTCATGAAAAAATGATAATTGAAAACATAATAATTGAGGGATTTTTTTTCAGAAATCATAATTGGAATTCTCAACAGGGTAACAAACATTTTTTCAATAATAATTCAATTGTTTATTGAGTTGAGAATTTCTTATAGAAATGTTTTGATTATCATTGTATTTTTCCGGGAAAAATGTGAAAATGTTTTCATTATGAATTTTCCCCTTTTTTGCAATCTATTTTTTATTTCCCAATTATTGATAGTTTTTGAAGTTCACACTAAAAACTAAATGCTGATTTCAATTTATTAATAACAATTACAATTTTGTATGTGTGTGTAATCACTGAAACACATTTTTCTACTTGTCATTCTGTATACAATGAGCTCATCTTCTTAGAAACTTCATTTCTCCCTTACACGAATTCAAAGTAAATTGAACTATTTACTCACATAGTCAGTAGAAAACAATCGATCACTCATGTTGGTAGAAAGAATACATATGTTTACTCCATAAGCTCTAATAGAACACTAACTCCGCAAAATACCACCGTTAACTATAAAAACCATTCAAAATCTAAACACATCCAGAGATGTTGCCGCTCTTCTGGTCGTCCCATTGTCTTCAATTCTCCAAGAAATACCCACAGTCGTCAAATAGCTAATGACTTGTACAAAAAATATACATGCTGGTTGCAGCGCTCAGTTGCAGTGGTGGACACACGATGAATTGAAGAATACAAAAAATGACATTTTACCAACGCTTAGACGACCGACAAAAAATCAGTTTTCCGATGATATTATCACTTCATCGCCACTCAGTGGCCAGAAATGGAAAACGCTTTCACCATTAGTAGCCATCTAATGGTCAGAAATGGGATAATGTGGTTAATTTTGGTTCCATTTCTGGCCACCCAAATTTTTAATAGATTTACAAGAACAACAATAGATTTGAATGGAACAATACAATCCATAACTATTATAATAACTACAAAAACTCATCTACAGACAATAATAACTACAGTTTTCTGTTAGAACCTTAATATGTCTTACCTTGTCACTTACTCAGAACAATAATTACAGCGTCTCATCGAGTTGTGCGTATAATGACGCAACTATCACTTCAAACGTACAACCGATATTGGCGTATGGAGGGAGGAATGTTTTGGCGGGAGATTTAATAATGCCAATCATACTCGTTTCTTGCTTCCAACGGTGTGCAAACCTTAACTAACCCAAGAAACACAAGGACATCCATTGGATGTACGGATGTACATTATTGTCCAGGAGGATATCCATTGGACATCCTATGTACATCCAGTGGAGACACTTTTGGACATCCAGTGGATATCCATTACCAGACATCCATCGGATATCCATTACCAGACATCCATTCTAGACGTCCATCGGATTTGTAATATGGATATCCAGTGAATGTTAGTGGTTTGGGGATTTCCATTGTCTAAAGTTTGTTAACAGATCTGAAACCTAAAATCAAGAATTCTCATTTTATTTCATTTTTTATTTTATTTTACTAATTTCATTTTTTGACTATTTTATCTATTCCCAGTTCAATTTATTTTATTACTACTAACCCTTACATTAGTTTGCTAATTCACTTTTATTTCAGGTGACAATAACTTGCTATTTTAACAGGTTTGGTTCATTCTATTATTATTGTTTTACTTTTACATAATTTTTTAAATTTTTGAACAACTTTTCCAAATATTTCGGTTCGTTTATTTTATTTTGTTATAAAGGATTTTTCAATTTCTTGATTTTAGATTTCAGATCTGTTAACAAACTTTAGACAATGGAAGTTCGAACCACTGACATTCATCAGAAAGCATTGTTAAACACATTCAAACAAATGGATATCCAGTAATAGAAATATGAACATTCATTGAACATTTAATTCCATTAACCAAAACAAACACTACTCCCACACACATAACAGCCTTTTTGTCAGTCTTTACTGTACTGGACTATATGGTTCATCTACCTGACAATGCCAAAACTTGGTTAAACGATCGTCGTAAAGAATGTTGCAGTTCTGGTGTGTGGGTGAAGGGTTTTGTTGGAATCACTCTATGCCAAAAGATTCCACTTCCATTTTTCAGTAAGAATTCCATCAAATTTTCAAGAATAACCATTCAATTCAAATATGGACATCTATTCGAATATGCATCTCAAAAAATATATAACCTTATATATATTTTGAAATTATATACAAAACAATAAATTTTTTAAAATGTATTTATTACTTTTTGATGAAAATTAGTTTCCTAATTTTACAAGATTGCAGAAAAATATATTTATATTGTCTTAGAAATAATAAATAAATATATTGACAAAATATTTGAATTAAATAAAATTCTCAATTTACATAAACAAAATAAAATCAATATTCTATAAACTTTATAAATAAAAGCAAGGTTGATGGATCAAGCAAGGAAATTAATTTTTGCGTTCGCCACACTTCTCTCCTTGGCCCTGCGCAACCATTTTTTGATAGAGTCTTCCGTTTCTTTTCGACTATTCCAATTATTTCTTTCAGCAGCTACTACAAGAATTAAATTTGAATTAATTATTGTGTATTGAGAATACTATTCAACATTTTTTTAAAACGTTTTCTTAAGGCAAATTTTCTCTTAAAGAAAGCAAAACGGGCAACAATATTTTAGTGTTTCTTCAGGATCATAAATAATGATATAGATAAATAACCTGATACACGACAATAAACAAAAGATTGATTGATATTAATATGCTTCAACAGAGCTATAATTATACAGGGCTTTCATCAAAGAAGACATAGGACATAATGAGAATGGACAAGTGAGAAAGTGCCGAAAAGTAACAAAAAATAATAATACTGATACAGAAAAAACATCAATAGAGAAAGTTTAAAAATCATTTAAATATATTGATAATATATGTCACAATTCTAACATTTCAATGTTCCAGAAAATTACTATTGAAACTAACTTATTACAACAATCATATAAATCTATTATTCATATAATAAAATGAATAATTTTTAAAACCATAACTTACCGATTATAGCTTCAGCCACTCTTAAAACACCAAATTTATTTTTCTTCTTTGCGCCATGCCAACTATAATTAGCAGCAAACTGATTGGAAAAAAGCATAATAAGGCACCTTTTAGTGAATTCATATAAATTACTTTCACCAATTTTGCATAATTCATGTACCTAAGAGACAGTTCGAAGTGAATTTATTCAAGTTTTATTGAAAATATTTCACCCACATACACATTGTTTGAAATTGTTGTCAACTTTTAGTAATTCTTCCAGGTAATTTAATACTTCCTCATTATTAATAGGAAGCTCAATATTTTTGAAAATTGACTCCTTGTCCGCTTCAATATTACTTTTATTCACATTTATGTTTTTTATTTCTTCTACAACATCCGTCAAAATGTTTCTTATCATCACCTGGTTTCTAACAATAGTTTTGAATATTTCACCTATAGACATAAAAAAAAGTAAGTACTTACAACTTTCATACTTGAGAACAGAAATTCCGAATTTCTCAAAAAAATATAAAAGTCTACAATTTCTATATACAAAGTTTCATCAATAAAAAAGTATTCTATGGAGATTGTTTGTTAAAAGACAATTATTTTATTCTTCATGTCAAGAAGATTAGACATATTTTGATTACTTTTACCACAAACGTATATTTGAAAAATATTAAAAATATACAGAGCTAGTTTATATTTTACTTACCATTATTTTTGTGGGAAGGGCAACACCTGCAGTTGATACTTTGATTATCTGAAACAAAAATTCAACTTATTTTTATACACACTGATGCTCAAAGGAGTGTTATCAGTTTTAAGTATAGCAAACTTCTGTAATAATAAAATAACTTATTTTCCTTCAGATTTCTAACAAAAATATTATTAACTATTTATTTCAAATTCTATCTATTATCATTTTAATTACAAATATCAATGTGCATTCAAAAGATATATACACAATACATATATAGCAAAATAAAACAAATATTTTGGTTTTCAAATCAAATTTAAACATTGATTGTGAAAAAAATAACTTTACCTTGACTGAAATTTCCATCCTCATTCTGTATTTCAGAACCTCTCGATTCTGATGATGTACACCTTCAACTATATGATCAGCAAGACTCGGCAAAAGATTTGTGGCCTTCGGGGTGAGACTTATTCTTATTGGAGGAGAATGAAGTTTTGTTTGCATTTCATCTTCAGATGATGATGATGAGAACAATTTTTGTTTCCTAATTTTTCTTATTTTTTTATCGATATGTGATCCAAGATCACTTGAATATTCAGCCTGTTTCAATTTATTTCTAGCAGTTAAATAATTATCTGAAATTAATTGTAATTAATAATTTATGTTGTTTGTTTCGGTCAGATCTACAAAAACCTTACTGAAATAAATCTCTATAGAAATGATAAGGCTTTACTCACCGAAAGTACCATTTCTGAATGTTTCAATTGGAAATTGTGGCCAACAACTATTGAAATCCTCATTGATGTTTTTTAATGGCATTCAGTAATTTTTCTTGAGTATATAAAGTCGGCCAATAGCAGTTTGTTCCATTGATCCAAGTAGTAGGCACAGCCTCTACAGTTTCTTCGTTTGAAAATTTCACAACGGTCCAGGTTGAGTTCATATGTTCAAAAATCCAAATAGCTGAAATAATTGAACAGGAACGAGTAAATGTAAATCAACAAATTTTCGGCCCTGAATAATTGTGTTGATAATTTTCGGCTTAAAAATATTAATTTATTGGACTGCATTACCTATATACACACAGTATGAAAGTACATATCCAGTAAAAATATTTTATTCGAATTTCTACATTAGTCAAACAAAATTGAATACATTGATTGCATTTTTGTATAAAGCAATGCTTAGATCTTGATAAAGTACTTAAAAAAAGACTCGAACAAAAAGCTACAAAAAGGATACACTTTCCTGAAAATATATATTTTTTAAAAAGTTCAACAAACCCTGTTTCGTCAATATAGAATATGATGGTAGTTATTTTATGAATAGAGGTTCATCGAGTTAATTCAATAGAAATGACAAAAACAGAATTTGATATCCTTCTGATAAATATTTTATCCATTTGTTCTTTAATCCATGAACTTGATTTTGGGTGTTATGTTATATGAAGAATAAAATTTAAAAAAAGTGACAATAAAAATATTTACTTACTTCATTCATACTTTTTGATACACAATGTACATCTCGTAAAAAATTATAATGACAGCAGAAACTATAGCTTATTTGATTTTTATAAATTTTTAAGTTAAATGCAATAAAGGAAATATAACATAGTCATTTTTAAATTGTAGTTTAACACATTTATATGCAATATCCTGCATATTCCATGATTCCAGAGGGCCAGTAATATTTAGAACATGATATATACCTAATTCTGAAGATTTACAAGGTTTGGTGTAAAAATCACGTCTTTCAATAAATTTGTGTCCAATAACATAAATATCATTGAAAACTAGAACAATATTTTTTATGATAATAATATAATTATCTTTCAAACAACAACAGTTATCAGGGTCTGTAGTACTCAAAATATAGTTTTTAAATTTTAGTCGTTTATACTGTTTTGAAACTTTTAAATGATCTAATAAAGGCCCTACAAAATGTTCGTCACTTAATTGGGGATGGCATACTTCATTAGTTTTTAGACTTTGGTTCAAAATATACTGTTGCTCATTTAATCGACAAACTATTTGTTGAAGAGGTTGATTACCGCTACGTATTAATTTTTGCATATAATTTTCAAATGCAAATGCACCAAATTTATCCAGAAATCCAAATAATCTAACATCATTCGCAAGTGTAACAAATTATGAATATTGTGAGAAATGTTTTCAGCTTTGTATAATATTATAAAAGTTTCTACAAAATACTTTAAAAGTTGATCTGCATACTTGACATGCTCATGAAATTTAGGCATTGCTAACATGGAAGTAGCAACATGTAAAGTCAAAAAATTTGTGAATTTTTCTTTTTCCAGTACTCTGTTTAGAACAACTGGGCCTAAATAAAATAAAAATAGCCTAAATTCTGTTGCTATCCATCGTTGTGCTTCTAATAATGAAAGTGGTTTCCGGTTGAATTCAATAGGTATATTAGGTCTCTGTTTCAATAATAAATCGGATATGTCTTTTATAGTTTGAAATGATAATTTTGCAGATGTTTTACGCCCATCAATCCACAAATTGACAATAATTTTTTTCACAACACCCAAACAAATTAAATGCATATAGTCCAGAGGGAAACTATTTATCATATCAATATTATGAATTGTTTCAAGAATATTACTGCCAGTATGATGTTCTCCTTTTGATTTCAGTCTGAATTCATTATCCGTTCGAAGCGATAAATTATTAATATCAGGGAAACGAACACGGTTGCTTATATAGGTTCATTAATTTTACATTTTGAACACGAGTTATATGCATTATGGCCAACAATTTGTTTAATATAAGATTTTGCAGGTACATCACAAATAAACGCTTTAATTTTAATAACAAATTTACGATTATCAAACTTTAAGCCATCATTTACAATATCTACTGCTTCCTTAACAAACGATTCTAAAAATGTATTTGGATCTTTTGGTTTCTTGCTACCATGATAAATACCTATTACATTCACAATATTCCTTTTCTCAAATAAGTTGCATAAAATTGGGTAAAACTGGCTACTGGAGCTCTTAGAAAGGGGCAAACCATCAATATTAATACATACGTCTATTACATTAATATCCTGCCGAAATAAATCACCTGACTGCAAAATAAGATTCTTCAAACAACTCCCAAAACCAAAATAAAAATATTGCCCTGGTTCAACAGTTTTTATATTTACAAGCCTCGGAGTGTGTAATATAGACCTAGCATCTGAAGGTAGAGAAGGGAATGTTGGTTTAAGAATATGTAACAAACTTGAAAAGGCTGTATGGGTGATATTAAATTCTGATGCCCACTTAGCTAATTGCAGTTTAATAGTATTTTCATCATTACTTTCGCTTACTAGTGAATTTTCAAGTATAGGATTGTTGAAAATAGAAAATTGTTCTTTAGAATCAGTTTCTGACAAACTGTCATAAGAGTCGATATTTTCTAAGTTCTCTTATCCAAATATGGATATCCTATGGATATCCATTTTAGGTCCAAGGACATCTGTACGTATAATGGACATAAAATGGATATCCATTGGATGTCCTGTGCTACCTGGGAATACGTATTTAAAATCGATGTGGCTAGAAATGGTGTAATGGCCACAAATGGTTCCTCTACCCTACGGCTTCCTTAGTTCTCTTAATTTGACTTCGATTTTCATGTGCCATTTTATTTATAAGATAGTTGGATCTAGTTGAAACCAACTTACAAAATCTTTGATTTTTTTTTTCTAGTTCATAGTTTTTATTTTTAACGACTTCTGCCTCTAAAATGTCTCCAACATGGAGTATCAATGTCACAGAACTAGGGCCTATACTAATAATAGCAAATTTACCATCTGACCACCCCCCTAAACTATAAATGGCATTGATAAATGTATCAAAATTATTGCAGTCATATTTAGATTTCACATCTTTAATACTGGGATATATCTTTTTCATTTTAAGAAGAATTCTGGATAACTGACGTAATTTACTTCTGATCATTTCATCCTGATGATAGCTTGATGAATATTTTATTGCCAAAAAATTCCCAAACTGAATAGTAAGGTGATCATGGACTAGTGCTCTTGTGACTACATCGTCAGTAAGAACAGGAAATTCCTTGTTTTTAATGGTTCTGAAGCTATTTCATGGATATTTTGTAAAACCGAACGACTGCAAGTAATAGTATTTTTTAATCCTTTTCTCTGAAACTTCAAATAACACAATTTTTAGGTTTTTCACTGTATATAGAATTTGATTTTACATCAAGCCATAACAACTTAGGATAAAATGGCTTATGTTTTTTCTAAAATTGTGTTGATTTTTGATCCTACAATTTGTTCGAAAGAGATGAACTTGTTTTGTTGATGAGTGGTGGTACATTCTTCTAAGCTCTACATGATAAAAATACAATTTTTGAATATGATCTTGCAGAAAACATACAAGGATGGTTGAAGTTAACATGAGACACCCAGTATATTCACATCATTCTTGTTCAATGAAAATATTCAGTAAATAAATTCTTTTTTCTATCATCAATATGTTTTTGCTGAAGATGTCTGGCTAACTTGAAATGAAGCTTATTGCAATAAACGCAATTGTGTTTTTTATTAGGATACAATTCTCTTTGATTCTTTCTCTGACTACCACCAGTGTCAACTATTGAACATAATGATATGTATTTTTACAAATTCACCAAGATTCAAAAAACTAAAATAGTATATTTTCACAAACAAAAGGAAATGATAAATAGTGTTGATATTTTGAAAACCATCGTCTGATTACTAAAACTTATTCAGATTATAAAAATTAACCAGTTTGATATAATTACAGGGAAATTCAAATTCGAATTTATGCATGGGAATATAGTAACTAGCAAGAGATAGAGAGTGCGCAATAATAGGTGAAGTTCCCTATTATTGCGTGCCATTCAAAAATACTAAAAAAATCCACAATTCAATCGACTCTCTGTCTTTTATTATTCACGAGATATCCATGTATAGTGAAAAACAGTACAGTCGAAATTTTGTCTTACTACTCTATTGAGAATTCCCTCTTTTTTGTATTGAATATCAAAGATAACTGTTCAAGATGATTTTTTTAAACAAATGGTACTATGACAAAAAGTATTGAACAAATTTTGTAGTCCACTGAAATTGATACAAAGAAATTCTGTAAAAGGATTCTTCAGAACCTAACACTATTCCACTGAAATTATGTCAAATTTTCATTTTTATCTGCCATATATGATGAGAATTGATGGATTGCGATGGAAAAAATTACCTTCCTTCATTTAATATCCAGTAAGCTACAGAGTAAATTCATCATTTTTTTTGTAGAACTAAAGCATTTATAAGGTATAAAAGTCATTTTATCTAGCTCTATGTAAATTAAGAGCAATATAGATTTGCTAAAACGCTCACCATCATTGCTTGAAGAAGTTAAATGAAGCCCATGATGTTTTTGGATATGTTCGGGCAAATCAGGTAATATGATTCCACAATACATACATAATGATATATTATCTTTATCCTTTTGGCTGCAGTCCCTATCTATAGATGCCTCTGCATATGTATCAACATCATAAAACTCAAAAATAACATTGTCAACATTCTGAACTGGTTCTTCCATAATGAAATAAAAACTAATATCATCTGCAGCTGAATGGGATTCTACTGAAATCTGAGATGATTTCTGTTTGACCATATTTTTTTCACTTGGATTACATTGATATTATTAGATATTAGAAAGCATGTTATTTGATGTGACATCCATTTGAAACAATGTTTGTTTCTAATGTTCCGCTTTTTGGTCTTGTCACGTTATTAATGTACGACATGAAATCAAACTCATAAAGTGTATTCAAATATTCCGCTGCCACTTGATCTTCTTCTAAAATATTTATATTTATATCGCCTCTCTCGGTTCTTTTTGGGAATTTTTAATCGCCACATGTCGACCGATAAGGGAAAGGG